CCGGTTCCCCGACCGCTGGTATATTGTATATGGAAGGTTGTTTTTTGTTCAAATTATAGATCCAAATGATGGATAAACCTTTCTTTTATGATAAATTATACAATTTGTGAAGCAATATTCAATAACATATGTAACTAGTTGTACGTCTAATGATTAAAAATGGAATTCTTATAAGTAAGCAACCCATGGAATCAGCATTTTGTTGTTACTTTTTCCGACTGCTGCGATCAATGCATTTCTCCGCCGAGACGCAGATGTTTCAATCATATCTGCTTGAGTGTGTATGTTTGTACACATATATATATATATAAAGAGTACATACGAGAGAGATTTGCGGGGGGTGGGTGGTTGAGCGTCGCGACGCCCCTGCGTCCAATAAAGTGGGGACCTCAGGTGCGAGCCCCTCTCGTCGAGAGATTTACTGTGTTTAATACCATCTTCTTCTCTCTCTCTTACACACACGTTCACTTCTCTACTAGACTGCAGCAGCAGCAGCAATAAAGTAGTAGTGGTGGTACGTACAAACAGCATCGATTATTACTGCGGATAAATCATCCCCTTCGTTAATGTATTAAATACAATAAAAGCAAAGATTAGTCATGAAGGAAAAGAGCAAATCGAAACAAAACGCAAATAAACAAAAAGGCTTTATGGAAGGAGTTTTTAATTAAATCCTGTTTGTAGTTTAAGGTAAATCGGATGTAAAAGTGGTTGAGGAAGGATTGTATAACTATGTGTGTTTCGGCAATTTCGAAGCCGCGCTTCCGTAACAAACGCAATTGTGCTGCGCTCGCGTATATAAATTTTTGAGCAAAAGCGCATTTCGCCGAAAGCTATATTAGCGCAACTTTATTTTCCCGGCAGTATAACAGACTGCACACGTATAATATACACTTGAAAACATGCAGATATTGAAAGAGAAGACGTACTCAACTATATCATCAATTCATTCAATGAATGCGATTCCATATTATTTTATTTTTCTTTGGACTTTCGAGAATCGGCTTTTCAGTGAAAATACACAAAGAGAAATGTGTAGAGGAGGAATAAGTGCTGCTTTTTTTTCACTCCGAATTGCCATGCTCCATTTGATTCCTCCAATAGAAAAGGGAAAAAATCAATTATTAATGTTCGCTCAATTTACTTTTCTTTTCTTTTCTTCCGAGCACTCTGTTTTGTAACAGCAATTGTCCGCTTCGCAGTTTCAAGAATATCCATTGATATTAATAATTTAACAATATTGTCTATAAACTCAATTGCAAATGATGAATAAAAGCAATTAACGAAATTTGATTTCCTGCAGAGGGGATAATAAGATAATGAACGGCATAACATTTTCGAATTGGGAAACGGATTTGGGAATATCTGCGGATGGCGGCTGCAGAACGCGCGCATTTATTTTCAATTAAACCGTTTTATTATGAACAATTAAATATAATTGAAATTGTAATTTGTTTATTAATCAAATATTCGGTAATAGTAATTGGAAATTCCGTTATTGCATTGCGTTTCGATAGAGATAGAGCGCAAAATGTATACTTTACAACGTTTATTATTAATAATTAATAATTTTCATCCCATAACAAATTTTCCATTTTTTTATTGTGTAAATAATTTGAGTTTTTTTCTTTTTCGTTTCAGAGTGAAAGAAGGGAACAACACTTCACTCCCGGTCGTTTCACCCCGATCAAACTTCCAGAAGGACAAACTATAGAAGGAGTCGCTCAACTCTTGGACTTTCCCAGGCACAGACTGCGGCTCCTCGAGAAGCTCGGAGAAGGCGATTTCGGAATGGTCAGTAGGCTTTGATTATACAATATAATACAAAAACAAAAAACAAAACGATGAAAACAAAATAGAAATCCTTTGAGAGAGAGAGCGAATCGCACCGAATTAAACGTTCGTAACATCATTATTGTTTCGCTCCAACTGCACATATTTTAATTTTTTTTTTCGTGTTCCGCAAATTCCATTTGGGATTCGAATCGCAAACAGGTTTATTACTCAACACACTAATTTATGCGAACGCAATTATCCATTTTTTTTTTCGTGACCATTCGTTTCGGCGTTTTTTTTCTCAAGCCTTAATTAATTAATGGCGAAACGCTTTACGAACATTTGGATGTATTTCGTCTGAAGTGATCCTATAGTCTAGACGCTGTGTCAACACTTTTGCCTCTGATATTTGAGAGATGAGAGAATTGGGGATGAGGTTTATAATTTGCGGAAATTGGATCTGCGTTGAGGTAGACTGGAAAAAAGGAAATAATGGATGGATGGATGGAAACTGTTTAATCCATTAATGTAATTAAAATCCTCTTAACCTGAAGTTTAGTCTGTGAGGTGGATTAAAGTCGTCGTTTTTCCAATTTTATGAAAGTTGAGATGCAAGTAGAAAAGTATTGAGAAAATGTGGAAACTAATGTAAATATCAATGATATTTAGAGATTAACTAAGAAAATATGATCTAAATCAGTGAAAGAAAATTAGGTTTTGAATAAAATAAATCGTTTTGTAACTTGTACAGAATGGGGTTAAGAATGGGTTGTTTTGGTATTGGAGGTTGTAAATTTGTGTTGCTAGTAAAGTGAGGATGTATATAAATATCTTCGGAAGCAGCGACTTAGACACAATTTAAAACTTATCGAACTTAAGCTCTCCCTTTATCCGGAATGGGAATGGGAGAGCTTCGTTTTTATTAGGGCAATGGAAATATTTCAATAAAAATCGCAGGAAGATTATGTTGGGAGAGAGAAGGAGGAGGAGGATGAGGATGAGACGACGGTGAAATAAGGAAATAAGCATTTCGCGATGATACGGGAAGATGGAATAAATTTCGCGGAAATTGCATGGAGCGGTTTCGAACCTCCCTCTTCCACTCACTCACTCACAACATCCGCATTCGAAAAATTACGTAACGATCGAAGAATGTATTTTCTTCTTTTTAGTTGTTGTTTTTGTTGTTATTGTTTGAATTTGAAGTATTTATCGATTTGCGAAACGTTGCCAAATCAATCAGAAGTATTGACTATCCCGAAGGCTTAATAAGAGCGGTAACTCTCACGAGAAGAAGTAAATATTTGCCGTGTTGCATTTTTCTATCCTTTGTGGAAATTACATTTATTGTAGCATCTTTCTTTCTATATTATAAAACAAAAAAAAACTAGAAGAATTTGGTAATATGATTTGAGTTATGTAATCAGCGTATAATAGTATAGGCAACTCAATTAACTTGTTAATTATATTAAACATGTTTAGTCTCTCTAGAACAGCGGTCGGGGAACTTTTCTAACCATTACCCCAAAATATTGCGTAAATCGATATTATTATCGATATAATTTTAAATAAACATTATTTATTGAATTAATTTGCATTTACATATTTATTAAAAAAAAGTTACATGAAAATATTAACAAATAGTAATAGACAAACAAAATAAAATTTTTCAATTGGAACAAACAAAAATTAATTGAAAACTTTCCCCTTTCAGGTTTTGGAAACATGATGTTGCTTCATTTTTGATATAATTACTTTAAAATTGGGACTTTTTGATGTAAGAGCAATTTGAATACCGTCTTCGGCGTTTAATCGATTTCTGTTTTTCGTATTTATGTACATTAGAGTGGAAAAGCCTTGCTCACAAAATTAAGTTGTTGCAAATGGCAGCAATTTTTTTACCGCCTCCTCATGTGCAATTTTGAAAGCCTTTACAGCCTTTGACAACAAAAAAGACGACAAATTTGCTTTGGTCTTAAATTGAATACAGTATTGGATCGAAGTTCAAGAATTGCCTCTGCCAAACCTGGAGGTTCTTCTGGTATGTTAGTAATTTCACATTTAAAAGGATCTACAACACAATTCACAGTTTGTACATCAAGATCTGGAAAGTAGTCAGAGAATCGCTCTCTGAGTTTCGTAAGATGAAATTAGAAAAATTTCATTTTTACCCCATTTTGTATAAGGAAGTACTTGTTTCGCAAGTACTTGTTACAGCGGTTACTTGTTTTATTGTAATGTAATAGGTAACTGGTTTTGCAAATGTAGTATTAGTACAGTTAAATGATTGCAAGCAGAATTCAAGCCTCGGGCCTAGAATTACAGCTCATTCTGCTCTCTTGATACAGTTGATTAAAGCTTATTCTGCTGTGAGATTATAACTTCTGCTCTCGCAGCGTAGACTTATTTTCACCGGTTAACTCTCTTCTTCGGTCCGGCAATAAACGTACTTTGAATTATGGTGGCTAATGGCGTTTTGCTAAGGGTGGAAGGATTGGGATTGGTAGAAGGGCGCTTGCAGCATAGAAGAGATGACACTGGTTGGGTGGGTGGATGCAATCAGGCGTCCTCGTGCAGTTGTTGCTTTCATGTTCTTTATTGGCAATGTGCTGTGCGGCCGCAATAACCCAAGGAACCGCTCGATTGCTTCCTTCCTTCCTACCTCTCTCGCTCTCTCTCTCGCCCTTCTTCGTCGTCTGGCACCACCGCCAGCATATTACGGTCCTGCACGAACCCATTCACTTTATTTTACGGCCCTTTATACATCAAATAACCTCTCCGGTTTTTGCTGAGAGAAAGGGACAGCAGCAGCAACAACAACAAAAAGGAAAAGAGTAAAAATGTTTTCGTTCTCCTGTTGCAGGTGCATCTGTGCGAAGCGGAAGGTCTTCCGGACTTCAACGGCGGCTCCTCCTTCCACAAGAAGCAACTTGTCATCGTGAAGAGTCTCTGGAGGGGCTGCAATGACACCAAAAGGTAATTCATCAAACGAATCAATGATTTTTTAACCGCTCGCCACATTGCGGACACGGACGAGGGGTGGTGGCCCTTCCTCGTTTGCGCAATCTGTTGTTCAAGTAATCTAATGTGCTGCGCTCGTTTCTTTTCAGGCACGAATTCTTGAGGGAGAGCAGCTGGTTGGCGGGATTGCGCGACCCCAATTTGGCGCGCGTCGTCGGTTTATGCAGCCAGGACGAACCCATGTGCGCCCTCCTCGAGCACTCGGACCTGGGGGAATTGCCAAGGTTCCTGGCGCAGCGAGCCAACGAGGACGATGACCAGTGTCCATCGATCAGGTAAATCGCGCCAACCAATTTATTTTCATTCACAACAACAACACACACCAGGATCTAATTCCCCCAACAACAGACAATCAACCAACTCTGCTCTTTTCTGTTAATTTTTACAGATTTATCAATCTTTAATATGTAAACTACATTCAAAAGAAAATCATTTATTCAATGGTGGATATTTAAAAGTTAAATTAATAATTTAATATTCTTGTTGCTAAAGATGTGTTTTGTGTGAGAGCGACAAAAGCGTCTCTTTTCGCTTCGGTATGTGCTGCACATTGACTGTTGAAAGTCAATTCCGGCACAGAAGACCGCTTTCATATTCAATGATAAGGGATATCGTAGATATGGATGTTTTTCAATATGTGTAAAGTAGGAGGATGGAGGAAAAAAAAAGTAGAAAAGAGATGGCGTTGACTGCGAGGGGTGGTCGTGTTGGCTTTTTCCGGGGTTTGTTGTGTAAGCCTTGGTCGGAAAAGCGTTCGTCGGCTTTCCATTTTCCACCCTCGCTCCATCCTCCACGCCACCCCCGAAAACCCGCCGCAAGTCCTTCTAACCGTTAACACAACTTTTATCTGCTCCACTGAGTCGCACATTATGAATATTACCAGCAGACGCTAATTACCGAATAATTTACAGCTTTTCAAGAATCTAGTGCACATCCGATCCCTCCTCTGTTCCTCATCCAACCCTAAATGATTCAGCCTTTCCTCATTCTCTCAACATTCCAACAAGAGCGAAAAATTAGCCGAGAAAAGCAAGAAAATGTCACGTAAAAGGGGTTGTTGATCTCTCTTCATCTCTCTCTTTTTCACACAAACACACAGAGATTTCTTTTTTCACCGAATTATTATTTAACTTTAACAACTCACGCTCTTATTAAAATTTTAATCCCTCTCTCTCTCTCTATCTCTTTTCGAAGAAAACTGTGACGGAGAAAAGAAAAGCAGAGGCAAAGTTTCATTGAATAAATTTGCTGCTTTGATATAATCGCTAAAGGAAATTCAAGCCGAGGGTTGGGAGCGCGAATTTTCTCTTTACTTTTTTTTATTATTATTATTTTCGTCTTCACGAAAAACTTCGCCTGGGACACAATTTCTTGGAGCTTCTTTTATACATACAATCGAGTATACATAATTTAGATGCTACAAGAAAATATGTAGAGAAAAAGTGATCATTATTTATTAAAATTACAAATTTTAGGAAATCCAATGTGAATTAGTTTTTTTTTTAATAACATTTTAAAGTTAAATTACAAAAACTTCTCGTTATAAATCTGAAAATTTTCCAGTAATAATAGTAAATTATTTGCTGGTCCATAATAAATTGTACCATTTTATGGTCTCACAAAGAGATGGAGCTTCTTATATCTTCTCTTTATCAATTACTTAACAACATTTTTTTATTTATTTTCGTCTTCACGAAAAACTTCGCCTGGGACACAATTTCTTGGAGCTTCTTTTTCCGAATATACATACAATCGAGTATACATAATTTAGATGCTACAAGAAAATATGTATATTATATATAGAGAAAGCGAGAAAAAGTGATCATTATTTATTAAAATTACAAATTTTAGGAAATCCAATGCGAATTAGTTTTTTTTTAATAAGATTTTAAAGTTAAATTTCGAAAACTTCTCGTTATAAATCTGAAAATTTTCCAGTAATAATAGTAAATTTATTTGCTGGTCCTTAATAAATTGTATCATTTTATGGTCTCACAAAGAGATGGAGCATCTTATATTTTCTCTACATCAATTACTTAACAACATTTTCTTGGGACACAATTTCTTGGAGCTTCTTTTGCTTCTTTTATACACACAATCGAGTATACATAATTTAGATGCTACAAGAAAATATGTATATTATATGTAGAGAGAGCGAGAAAAAGTGATCATTATTTATTAAAATTACAAATTTTAGCAAATCCAATGTGAATTAGTTTTTCTTTTTAATAACATTTTAAAGTTAAATTACAAAAACTTCTCGTTATAAATCTCAAAATATTCCAGTAATAATAGTAAATGATTTGCTGGTCCATAATAAATTGTATCATTTTATGGTCTCACAAAGATATGGAGCTTCTTATATCTTCTCTACATCAATTACTTAACAACATTTTTTTATTTATTTTCGTCTTCACGAAAAACTTCGCCTGGAATACAATTTCTTGGAGCTTCTTTTGCCGAATATACATACAATCGAGTATACATAATTTAGATGCTACAAGAAAATATGTAGAGAGAACGAGAAAAAGTGATCATTATTTATTAAAATTACAAATTTTAGGAAATCCAATTAGTGAATTAGTTTTTTTTAATAACATTTTAAAGTTAAATTGCGAAAACTTCTCGTTATAAATCTGAAAATATTCCAGTAATAATAGTAAATTATTTGCTGGTCCATAATAAATTGTATAATTTTAAGATCTCACAAAGAGATGGAGCTTCTTATATCTTCTCTACATCAATTACTTAACAACATAAACCGAAACCTTTACATTCACGATCACTAGATTTCATATACATATATATATATATGTACGTGAGAGGGGGTGATGGTTCTTTTATTGCCATCGCTTATTTTATTCTTCGCCCGGAAATAAATATAAAACAGTTCCTTTTTATGTGCGTTTTATCCTGATGCTAGATGTTAAAGGGGAGGGGTGGCGGGTATGAGGAGGTGGTAGGGTAGAGGGCGCGCGCGCGCGGGGGTTGTATTTCCAGGATGTGACTGTAAATAACGGGATTTTTTGAATATTTAATACGCCATATTTCATCCTTGTTTTCGTCCGTATGTTTTCGGTCCGCTTTCAGAGGAAGCTCATATTTTATACATTGACATTTCAGCCCCCACATGAATCCTCCTCCTTCTCCTCCTCCTCCTCTCTCCACCCCCGCACACTGCTCGATATATATCGTTCACTTTTATAAAATATAGTGCGTATCCCCGGCAAAAGTTCCAACGGCTCCCTGATAAAAATACACGTCCAAATGGATGGAATAAAACTGTGCGATTGTGCAGAATTGATATTTTTCTCTCACAACCCCTTTTTTTCTCACACTGTACATTATCACCTTTAATACCTAAAAAGATGGATAGAAATTAATATGTACGTTCCTCTATTTGCAACAAACATTACTTGTTCTTAGATTTTATTGAATTACTCGAAAACTACAAACTCTACGCAAATGACTAAATACCCAAATTAAAGCTAAAACTATAGGGTTTAATTGGCTTGTATCCGATCATCTGTGAAACCCATAGTTTTCGCGTAATTAATTAATCAAATTTTGTCTATCTTTGTCGGTCGAGCAGATTTATTGCGCGTCTTTTATATCCATTTGCTTTATACCTTACGCACCCCGCATTAATTTTAATTGTTGCGCAACGAAATGAAATAGGGGATGAGCGAAAAAAAAGATAGAGAAAGAGGGAAAAAAAAACAACAGACGGGGGGGAGAATATGTATGTATAATTCGAGGAGATGTAATTTGCATGAAAGCCTCATCAAGGGGGGCTGTGCTTCTGCTTCTGCTGAGGTGGTGAAGATGGAGTGCACGCATTCCCTTCTCTCTTTCCGTCTTTCTCTTTATAGCTGTGTTTGTGAGCTAATACTAAAACCACCCTTCGTCCTCGTCCTTCTCTTGTTCTACCCGCAACCACCCACGACACAAAATAATATATGCCGGCAATTCATCCAGCGTTCTCCATCTGTATTTGTGTTTGCTTTTATATAAGAAGAAACGCCGTATAATTCCTTGACTCGTACAAATATGCACGCACTCCCGTCGAGTAGCGCAGCATGAAGAGTAGAAGGAGGTTAAACAATAAGCTTTTAAATCTTACTCATTTCGAGTTTCGGCTCAAATGGTCGTCGATATATTTCATGCCTTTGTCTCGTCCAAAAACCTTCATCCCTCTCCACCGTCTGCTCTTTCTCTCTCTCTCTTTACTTTCCCCTAAACGCATTCGTCTCCTCTCTTTCTTTAATTTCTCATCCAACCTCCCGCAGCTTTTTGTTTGTTTATTATAAATTAGTTTTCCACCCCTATAGTCGTCATCATCATAAACGTCCCTCGACCAACCGTCCAACCTCGACATTAAACTGAATAAAAAGGATTAAAGTTTAATGCCCGAGCGGAAAGTCAAATAATTAAACCCAACAACACACTCTATCTTTCTTTTTCAAACTCTCTCCCCTTCAACTTTTGGTCCCACAGGGTGGAAAAACTCGGGGAAAACTTCAATATTGGCCAAACCCGTAATTAATCGCCCTCCGCTCTGATGTGTCACAATTGCATTTTTCCGACTCTGGAAACTTTCGCGCAGAAGTGATTCCAACTTATCGAAACATTACATTTTCAATTAACAGAAATTAATTAACACCCATTTAAAATTATTTTTATTTATCTCTATTTGTTTTCTTGCTTTGTCTTGTATTTTTTTCTCTCTTTTGGCGCAGCGGGAAGGAAGTAAAGTTCTTTCTTAAATTTACGGGGCGGATGCTAAATTGATTTATGGGCGACTCGACGAGAGTTATATTAAATATTTTTACAACCGCGAGCAAGGGGATGGAATGAAAGTCGTTTTAAAGAAAACTAAAGAGAGAAGACGAAGAGGAGTACAGAGGAATAAGCAACAACAACAACAAGGAATTTTAAATGAGAAAATACAGGCGTGAATTACTACTACAACTACCAAATGAGGCAATGTCTGCTCTTGGTCTCGGTGGAAAGGGTTTCTTTATTTAACACCGTAATACTCTTCTATCCTTCTCTTCAGCTAGGGTGAGTGAATCTGTATGAGTGTGTTTGTACCTGGGAGTGTTGGAAGCCCTTCATAAAAGTAACCTGTAGATATTTCAGCCGCCCGCATATTTTCTTTGTGTCTGAGTTTGCGGCGGCGGCGGCAGCTTTCTTTATTACTTTACATCCACACAGTTTATATTCGGGCGGGTTTTGTGAGAGGGGTTGGGGGTTGGTTACGTGTCTGGCGCGC